TATATAAATTAATAATAAAAAGATATAATAATTATATCATTAAAAAAACCTATAAGGAAGATTCCGTTAAGAGTAACAGTTGTACCGACCCATAACTATTACAACATTTGTAAAATTTAGCCAAATTTAAAAGAAAAAAAATGCCACAAATGAAATTCAGGAAATGTAGATATTTTCCTGTCTCGGATTTATCTAATCTCTACAGTTAGAGGTTAAAAACCAAAATATATTAAATATATTATTTTGTAATAAATTTTTATAAAAAATATAAAAATAAAATATTATTTTTAATATTAATATTATTTAGATGATTTTAATTAAATAATTAATAAATTTAAAGTTATTTTTTAATTTTTTATATAAATTAATTAAAAATATATAATTAATGTTTTCTTAACTGCACAGACCCCTCTATATAAGTCCCTTGTTACTGTGTCGTTCTCTACTCCACTTACAAGTCAACACTACCCTGATTTCCTCTCTCAGAATTGTATTTGCAGTCTTCTCTTTCTGGGTCTAAACTAGCATGGAGATTGTCACCACTCTCGTCATCAGCCCGATTTTACAGGAGATACTTTCCAGAGCCACTTCATTTGCTGATGGAGAAATCGCGAAAGCTTGGAATTTGGAGAAGGAGCTGCTGTCGCTGACGAAGTCGCTCCCCAAGTTGCAATTTATGCTTGAAGCTGCAGGAAAAATGGTAGAATGTAATGACACCATAAGGGATTGGCTACGGGATCTCGAAGATCTAGCTCATGAACTGGTGAGTCTACTGGATGAGTGTGATTATGAAGCCACGGAACAGGTGCACACTTTCTTACCTTCCTTTTCATTTCGTCGCAAAATGGCTGGAAAAATTAAGGAGATAGAAGACTTTTTCCATAGGGGAATACAAATTATAGATGTTCTTAATCTACTTCTGACAAGCCTCGATGTGGCTACTCCTGGTCAATATCCTGATGATATTTCAGAAATTCTAGGAAGGGAACATGATCTCACAGAAATTATCAGTTTGCTAAATACTCTGAGTTCGAAATATCCCCTCTCTGGCCTTTCCATAGTGGGTATGCCAGGTGTTGGAAAGACGACATTAGCAAGATCTATAAAAAAGTGGGCAGAGGAAGGAAACTTCTATGATCTGGTGGCCTGGGTGTCTGTATCTAAGAAATTCGACGAAAAGAAGATTTTAGAAGTTATGGTGGAATATCTTGATGGGAGAGCTGGTGGATGGAATAGTTATGATGCAATGCTTCAACATCTTCGGAGAATGTTAGAAAATAAAAAATTCCTTCTCATTCTTGATGATGTCTGTAATGAATTAGATGCAGAGACATGGAAAAGATTCATCTCTCGTCTGTCAAATACTTTTAAAGCTAGTGGGAACTCCTCTATTGTCGTAACAACTAGTAATAAAAAGGTGGCTTCAACAATGGACGCAGTTGGTTGCAATAGGGTTCCTATGATTAAGCATGAATTGCAGAAGCTATCAAATGAAGAATGTTGGTTGATAATGGAGAAGAAGGTTCTCAGCTCATCCAACCTGACTTCAATTAAAGATCCAGAGTTAGCTATCGGAAAAGCTATTGCAGGACAGTGTGGGGGCTTGCCATTAGTTGCAGATGTTATTGGCGAAGCATTGAGCCAGCATATTGATGCAGATAAGTGGTCAGCTATCAGAGATAATACAGCATGGGATTCACCACATAGAAAAGGGATTCTATCTAAACTAAAAAAGAGTTCTGATCGTTTGTCCTTACCTTTGAAAAAATGCTTTTCTTACTGTTCAATTTTTCCAAAAGGTTCTGAAATTAGAAGAGATGAAGTAGTCCAACTCTGGATGGCTAAAGGATTTCTTTTCCAACATCATGGCAGCAAATCAGATGAGCAGGAGGATGTTGGTGACAGGTACCTCGAGGATTTGGTGTCCAATTTCTTATTCCAAGATGTGAAAATGGATGAGTATGGAAATATAGAGTCTTTCAAGATGCATGATGAGATGCATAATCTTGCATTGTCTCTGTCAACAAATGAAACATTTATTTGGCCGGATACTCGTCCCATTGATCCTTCTTGTATTCGGCATTTGAGGGTTATGTCTAATACAAACTTTTCAGTCCTTCCAGAAGCTATACCTGCAAGGTTGCATTCTTTGTTCTTGGATGCTGATGTTTTCCAGACCATGGTTTCAAAACTCAGTAGCTTGCGATCTTTAAAATTAGCAGCTGCTGGCAAAGAAGATTTGGAAGCTTCTCTTTGCACTTTGAAATATTATATAAAATACCTTGACATATCAGAAGTGCAAGAAGTACCAGGCTTTGTCACCAAGCTCTACAATTTGCAGACTTTAAGAGTCACAGGCTGTAGATCATTGGGAGAGCTTCCGACTCGTATTGAAAATCTGGTTAGGTTGAGGCATATTTATTTTAATGATGAAAGGCATATGCCAAGTAGCGTTGGGAAGTTAACTGCTCTTCAGACTTTACAGCTATTTGTTGTGGGTGAGCAAAAGGGTCGAAGAATTGAAGAACTTAAATGTTTAAACCAACTCAGAGGGACACTGAAAATCTGCAACCTTGAGGAAGTAGCATCCGAATCAGAAGCTATGGAAGCAAAACTAGAAGAAAAGGTACATTTGATCAAGTTGCAATTTCTATGGAGTAAATGTAGGAGAGCCAATCGTAACATTGATGAGAGTGTTCTGGAACAACTTCGACCTCACTCAAATTTGAAAAGTTTGACTCTTGAGAATTATAGGGGAGGCAACTTTCCAATATGGATGTTGAAGAATGCCCCTTCTACATTTGATTTGTTTCGACTCAACAATCTTGTGAATTTGGAATTATTTAATTGTGATGAATGTTGTAATATTTCATGTCTCAGACTCCTACCTGAGCTTAAGTTTCTCCATATAAGAGCAATGTCAAACATGGAGGGGATAGGCAGCAAGTTTTACCATGACACACGTGAAAGGGCAAGCCGCATCCGAGTTCGAGGACAACCAATCACACTATTTCCAGCTTTGATAAAGCTCGTCTTAGAAAATATGACAAAGCTGAAGGAATGGATAGAAGAACAAGGCTTGGTTGTGTTTCCTTGCCTTGAGCAGTTGCTTATTTGGGATTGTCCAGAGTTCGAAACATGGTGGATAGATGGATCCGCTTCCCAGAAGCTTTCTGTGCTAAGCATACTAGAATGTCCAAAGCTGCAGGTTATCCCAAGTGGGATGTTGAACTTAAAGTCTCTTAATATAGAAGATTGTCACAATTTAAAGGAATATGCTCAACGGGACAGCCCCAAATGGGATAACATTTGCCACATTCCTCACATCAAAATTAATGGGGAGATGGTCCAATCCCAAGACTCTTGATTTTTACAGGTATGTTTTATTTATAAATCTTAATGCAATCCTTCATAGAGTTTTGTTTCCTCAAGTTATAGTTGCCAAGCTTTTAGTCTCCCTAAGAGCATGCAATACCTAAATAGCAGCAAGTAGTGAAACTGAAGCCATCTGCTTCGTTATTTATTCAGGTGAAATTGGTTATTACCGTGGAGAGTTGTAATTGTAACATACGCTGCTCAGACTTCATTAAAGGTAGTGAGTCTGCAAATTCTTTTAGGTGTTTCTCTTCCTTACAAATATTTCAATAATTTCTTTCAAATGGCATTCGATCTTCAAATTTTTGACAATTTATGTTAAAATTTTCCAAACAGGTCCTCAGTTCAGTGAGGAGGAAAACTGAGAAGTAAAGATGCCCTTGATCAAATTAGTGTTATAGAGGAATATTTGATGTTTGTAAAAGTGATTCACAAGACAAATTCCTATCAGGTGGATGAGTCACATAAGCTAATTCTTTACATTCGTTTTATGATCTTAATTTCTGGTTGAATCATTATTTTAATACATCTATCATTTCCTTCTTATACTGCAGGACCATTAAGTTCCCTCACTAGTGCCCTTTCTAAGACAAAGGTGGATGAGGGGGATATGGATCAAAGATTGCATAAAGGAATACATGTGTTGCAAAGTTGATTTTATGGAGAGAGGTAATTCATAATTTCCATGACTAATCGGATAGTGAAGTTATTCTAGGTATCTTTTGCTGCAATCCTGATGATGATGATTCTCATTTTTACTTTTGGCCAGACTCTTTCTACAAGAAGCTCCTATTAGTCAGAAATTCCCAAGATTATGTTCCATGGTTTCTGACAAATCCTTCTGTGTTGGAGACTTTCTTAATCTTCTCCAGAAATCCGAATCTACTTTTGACTGTTTTCCAATGGGAACATCATGATATGTCGCAATTTTTCAGGGATCTTCAGGGCCTACTGTCTTACACGCCCACTGATAATTTTATTTGGTTCTTGTATGAAAAGGGTGCCTTCTTCTGAAGATATTGTTAGCAAAGTTCAAACATATTCTCACTCTTGGTGTGCAGCTTTATAACAATTTCCAGATTGATTTATTGTCTTGGCTGATTAATCCCAGAGGTATGTTTTCTCCAATCTCCAGTTTTGCTTGAATTTGCACTATTGGTTACCTTTGATTTACATGATATGTAATGCAATGAGATGAAAAAGCCTTTGAAAGAAATGAGAAGCATGCACCATACTTCTTTTATATATATGTTTTATATTGACTGATAGTCAAGTTACCAGTTAAAATGTCTTTAAAACTCTGCTAGGATATTGGAGTTTTCCAGCGTAAGGACATAATTCCAGGCAACCTTTTTTTATGGCAGCTTAATCTCTGATCATATAGAGATGAGAAGTGCACTCTCTCACATAACTACCCAATTACATGTTTCCTTCTGGTCTGTTCAGATATCTGAAGTTTTGCTTCAGAGAAAGAAGAAAAAAATTTCTTCTACATTGACTTTCTGCTTCTCATTGGCTATACGAATTGTCAAAATATTAAAGTTTTATGTAATGGAAGGTTTGTCATGCAGCCAATGCCCTCTAAAACTAGCAATCAAAGTTCCAGTTTCATGATTCTTAGGATTGTTCCAATCAGAGGAAAGATGCACGTGGGAGAGCATTGGTGAATGGTACAAGATTTTCGTCAATCCAAAAATAAATGGACTTGAGGAGGTATGTGTAGTTTAATTAAACATCTATCATTTCTTTCAATGTATGTTACCAGCTAAGAGTTGCTTCACAATATCCCTAGTATTGTCTACCCAGGTGCATGCCGTCCCTAAGTGAAGCCTCAAGACAGGAACTTAGTGACGATAGAGATATATTACAGCATCTGCTTGTAGAAGGAAAATCAAATATGTATATCCAAGCACTCCCACCGTGCATTTCTATGATTTTATTAGATGCCACTTGCCAGTTCATAAATAAAGATGGTGAGTTCTCAAATTGTCATGACTTTCTCTTAATGACAAACCGGTTCCAATTGTATAGCTCTTCATTTGTTTTTTTGGTTCTTATTTCTTAAATAATTCACAGATCATATTGATACCTTAAAAGGACTTCTGCAGAAGAAAGTATTGTAGCTGCATTTGTTTCAGCACTCAGTGGGTGAGTTTTAAGCTTTGGTAATGCAAGAATTCCTTTTTGAAGATTTCATTATTGTTGTAAGTCTCTAGTCCTAGAGAAGAAACACTTTGTAAGAATGTTATTTTATAGTGGCCATTTCTACCTGGACTAGGTTCCATGGTATTTTCTCCTTTGGGGTTTTTCACGTACAAAATTTTTGTGTCTTCTTTATTATTTCTACTTTAGACATGTTTGGTTTGAGGGAGGGGAGGGGATTGCTCCAACTTAGGCCAACATTCATTTTTCAGGAAAACTATTTAATTAGATGAAATAGTCTTCCCTTCCATCAAACCAAACAAGCCCTTCATGCTCGAATATGATTTTTTGTCATTTAGTTGCAGAAAGAGGAGAAAAATAAAGAAAATTTTATTTATTATTTAAACATAATCTCCATATAAATCCCCAAATTACAAAAGCAGAACTGAGTGTTCTGCACTTGCTTCTAATAACCAAAACTAAAAACAAATTATCTATCCGTATAAATCCTCCTGCCAAAGAGCCCATAAAAACTAGGAAACCATAACTGGTTTCCAAAATCATGCGAGGTTGTAACCCATCAAGCTACCCAAAAATCCCAATTTCGCCAGAAGTTCAACTACACAAAATCACCCTTGTCAATCCAAGAACCAAACATGACACAGTGAAGAAGAATAATGTCACAAAATCCCTACTAGACCATTTCCTCACAACCTTCGCTTCCGTTCTCATACTCTTCGCCATCCTCAGCGCATCCACCTCCTTCAACAAATCAAACTCTACACCCTGTTTCTTCAATTCCTCCGCACACTTCCCCAACAACTTCCCATCCTCTTTCTCCCTCGCCAGCTTCTTCTCCAAATGCCCTTCAACATCTATCTTGTACCGCGCGGCCCAGATTATCCCCATGGAGCAGAGAAGAGAACAGAGTGATGGGATCCATGACCTGTGGCAGGCCCCCGTGGGAGGGTCCCTGGAGGAGGAATTGAAAAGGAGAAGGAGCGCGATGGAATGGAAGAGGAAGAAGAAGAAATAGAGCTGCATGATTTCTTTACGGACAGAATATATATGGGTCTCCTTCAGGGTTACCCTGTTGAGGATCAACTCTTCTTCTTTTAGCCATTGCTTCAGAAGCAACTTGTGAGTCGGCGTTTCTGCGATTTGGTGAAGTGGGTGTGGGGGTTTCGGCCCCATCATCAACGAATTCGTGCCCTGATCTTCCATGAAAATTGTATACAAACGGAGGAAGTGTGAAGTGGAAGAGAAAATGAGGGAGATTTTGAGAGAACAGTGAGGGGTTGTGGCTTTTCGCCTAACGGGAGAGAAAGGCTTTATGTTTGACACTGTATTTGCAACGGTCGAATTGGGAATTGATCATGTAATTTATAGTTTTCCAGGTTTACCCCTGGTCGGTGGCAGTATAACGTAGCGTTCAAGCTTTTAGCAACGGTTGGGAGGATTGAACTCTGGTGTCGAAATTACACAATTTTCCTCCAGATGGCAATATCGTTGCTTTTTTTTTTTTATTAGAGAAAACTATAATTTACAATTTTTTTTAGAATTTATACTAAAATAATAGTCCTTTTTTTTATTTTAAGAGAAATAATATTTTTTAATTTTAACTTTATGATTATATTTTAACTTTAATTATTTATCTTATGATTAAAATAGTTATTTATTTTTATTTTTTTAAGATAAAATAAATAAAAATATAAATTATTCTCAAATTTTTAATTTGAATTTGAAGATAAAAATTAAAAACTATATTATAGTAGGACAAAAGAAGTAGTTAAAAGAGTTACTTTCATATTTATGTAAGAATTTATCTAATTTGTGTTCTTAAGATATAAATTAAAGTGCATTAAATGTATTATTTTATAATAAATTTTTATTAAAAAAATATAAAAATAAGATATAATTTTTAATACAAATACCACTTAAATGATTTTAATTAGGTAATTAATAAATTTAAAATTAATTTTTATTTTTTATATAAATTAATTTAAAAAATGTAATTAATGCTTTTTTAAAAATACAAATTGAACAAGCCTTTTATGTAATTAGTTTATTTATTTTTAATTTGTCATTTTATTTTATATAATATTAATTAAAATGCTAGCAATACTAGAAAAATGTGTTGACATGGCAATTTTATACTGATAAGGTTAAATGCTAAATTTGGTCCCTCAACTTTAGTGAGTTACACATTTTTTATCCCTTAACAATTTTTTACACTTTTTGATTTCTCAACTCTAAGAAATGCACACCGTTAATCCTTCCGTCAATTTAGACAGTTAACTTCACCAATGTGGCATTTTTTATATTTTTTTTGATGATATGGAAAGTAAAATTTAAAAAAGTGATGATAGGACAAAACATTTTGCCATGTCATGTTCTCACGATTCAAAGGCGCTAAATTCATTCAAATGAGCTCCACATTGCCTGCCAAAGCACCAATAAAGAAAGATGTCTTTTGATACCATGGTAAATTACGTGAAATTTTCTATATTTGTTTAATTATGTAACAAATTAAATTAAATTTAAATGCTTATATGAATAAAAAATAATATCAAGTCAAATTCCACTAATTAACCATCATTAAACTACAATTATTTATGTTCATCAGAATTGAGATTCTACAGTAATTTATAATTAAATCACAATTTTCTCATCAAATTTTCTTTAACAAACATTATAATTTTCTCGGTAACCAAGCAAATTGAAAGTATTTTCTCAGCATCCAAACACCCAAATTATACAATTTTCTAGCCAAACAAATGGAAATCCACTAAGAATTGCTTCTTTGCCCATCGATCACTGCTTCTGTTCTTTCCATCACCGGCGATGTTATTTCCAATTGGAACATTGAAATCATTAAGACGATACTTAGAAAATATGAAGAAAAGGATCCCAAAAATCCCTCACAACCTGTAATTTGCATAAACTCTTCACAACAAATATATAACAAAAAAAAAAAAAAAAAGTGGAGCTGGGTTCGATGAACCCAGTTGTTGGGTTCGATGAACCCAGTTGTTGGGTTCGACAGAACCCAACCTAGGTTCCACCTAACCTAGCAAATCTAGGTTCGATGGAACCCAGCTGCTGGGTTACATCGAACCCGAGCTAGGTTCTGTGGAACCCCGTTGTTGGGTTCCTCGAACCCAACAGATCGAGGTTCAATGGAACCCAGCTTGCAGGGTTCAGTGGAAACCAGTAGATGGGTTTCATCGAACCTAAGTTGGGTTCCCTTGAACCCAGATCAATTGAGTTTGAGGAAACCCAGCAACACAGGAAGAAGAGGAAGAAAGAAAAAGAAAAAAGAAAGGAAGAAGATGAATCGAAAGAGGGGAAGAAGATGGATCAAGAAAGGGAGATAAGGGTATTAAGGTAAATTTGTAGTTTTTTATTTTTTTATTAAAAATATAAATGCTAATCAAATTTGATTTATGAGTTAACGTTGACATGTCATCAAAAAAAGGTCCAGATCAACACTTTTTAAAATTGTTTTCGTCATGTCATAAAAAAAATATATAAAAAATACCACATGGGCGGAGTTAATAGCCCAAATTGACGGAATGACTAACAATGTGCATTTCGTTGAGGGATAAAAAAAATGCAAAAAATTATTAAAGGACCAAAAATGTGCAACTAACTAAAGTTGAGAACCAAAATTAACATTTAATCTACTGATAAGGCATAGACGGGTTCTAAGTTAACGGAATATGAATGGTCAAGTGACAGCGACCGTCCACTTGGGGTCAATTTACCTTTACCAAGTGTAGTTTAAGGGCCAATTCTTATATTGAATGTTGGAGGGTTAATAGTCCCAAAGATAAAAAATTGGAGGGGGGCTCAGGGGGTTAAACCCAGAAAATTTAGGGCAAAAACCTACTTAGCCCTTTATCATACTAGATTTGTAGGTTTTAGCCAAATACCTTATATTATGACACTTTTAGCTCCTTACTTATTAGAATTGAAAAAAATAACTCTCACTTTATAATATTTCATTAGTTTTGTTTATTAATTGTTAATTCTGTTAGCTGATTATTAATTTTATTAGCTAAAAATAAGTTTTTATTAGTTAACAGTCAATTAATAGAGTTAACAGAATAGTTTTGTTAATTGATTGTTAACTCTATTAACTGAAAGTAGGTTTTTGCCAACTAACAGTCAACTAATAGTCAGCTAATAGAGTTAACAATCAGCTAATAAAGCTAACAAAACTAACAAAACTAACAAAATATTATAAGTGATGGTTATTTTCTTTAATTCTAATAGGAGATGGACTAAAAGTATCATAATATAAAGTAAGGAGTTAAAACTTATAAATCTAATAAAATAAAAGGCTAAATGTCCCAATATGTGTTCAATAATATGAGAAAATTTTTGTCTAATATGTACGTTTAAATCATAAATTAAAAATGTAATAAATATTTTTTTAATAAATTTATATTAAAAATAAAAATTAATATTTAATTAAACTTATCTATTTAATATTAATACTAAAATTAATATTAATTTTTATATTTTTATATATATATTTATGATAAAAAGATATATTTAATCTATAATTCTAAAACATGTTACAAAAACCTTACAAGAAAAAGGGATAGAAAATAAAGAGAAAAAGAAAAGTGCTCTTAATGTTCATACTTCATAGGAAAGCATTATACGATAGAATTGCAAACATAGGTATTGATCTCACAGTTGATACCTTAAAGCATAGGACTCATTTGAATTACATTGAGCCAAGGCCTCTTCAAATTCCACCAGCACAGAATTCCTTCCAGCACCTTGATTACAAACCAAAGCACCTCATTCCTGGAAATCCCACAGAGCGAAGAAGCAAAACAAAGCATACCCAAGAACAAGAAGGAAATATACAACTCTAGAGGAATTGAAGAATATGTAATAGGCCAAAATCGATAGGTCGTACATATTGAGCAGGTTTTCTGAAAACATGGGGGCAAATGAGTCACCTTTGCGGCTTTCAAGAGCAAGATTTAAATGGGTTATGATCAGGGAGGGAAAACAGAGGCATGAATGAGGACTTTTCTGTTTAATAAATTAAATGATGCACATGGGATAGCATTAAAGTGAAATTGAAGGGAAGAATGTCCCCGTGGTCTCGTATTCACCTCTCTTATAAAAGATTTTTCATATCAAGTTTGATAAATATAGAGTTTAAGTTTTATTTCAATATTAAAAAAAAGAAGAAGAAGGAGCTCTCAGCCTCTACACATCAGCTTCATGTTGGAAGCAAGTGAAGACAAATTAAGTAGGCAAAATTTAGCTTGAGTCCATCCAGTGTCAAGGCCAAAGAAAAAGAAATGAAATCCATACCCTACAGAAAATTTATTAATTTATTTTAGAATAATGCTATCATATATTGACAAATTGAAATGGGTAGGGAACTACTCAGACTGTGAGTGACAGTACTGGTGGAGTAGTAATTGGATAGACCTTTTGGCTCAGGATGGGACATAATATTAGATAGATAATGTCTCCTTCCAACCACATAGATGGTACTAATAGCAGTCATTTATTGAATTAATGAACGGATATTTTGTTTTTGAACATATGAGGTTGTATACATAGTGCAAAGTGTAAATTACACTCTAATATTTTCAATTTCAAACAATTTAGTACTAAAAAAAAGTTTAGCAAATTAACATAAAAAAAAAAAGAAGCAAATCCCTAATCAAATTTTTATTTAAAGAAATCAACTCATTTATCATTAAATTTTTATTCAATTTTAAGAGTAATAATTTAATAGAATATAACAACAATTGTTAAATTTTAGTCAATTTCTTTAAAATAAAATTTGAAGTGACAATTTACCATAATTTTTTTGAGTGTTAATTTACTTCAATTCAAAAAATCAAATTTAAACTTAGCTCGTTAAGAAAATTAACTTGAATAGTTTGCAAACTCTCTTTATATAATATTACTATAATTTAATTTGTATGAACTATGTTTATGAGTGTTTATTGAGTTTAAATCAAGTTTATACAATAATGTTTGACCAACAAAATCGACTAAAGTCTAACTCAAATCAAACTATTATAGTTAAGAATCGAGTAACTTGACTAATAAAAAAAAGGTACATATAAGAATATAAATTTTGTTATTTTTTTATTTAATAATGTAAATTTTATTAATTTTTAAATAAAAAATAAAAAATTAAATTTTTTATTTTTTATTTAAGAATACTAACTTTACATGTTTTTTATTTAAATTATTTAAAGATTAATGGAATGGTGATTCTAATGTATCAAATAATTTTTTTAACCATCTAATTTATTTTTAAATTAAAAATTAAAAATTTACTATATTATTTAAAAATTAATAAAATTTATATTTTAAATAAAAATAACAAAATTCATATATTTATCTATATTTTTTTTTATTTTTAATTAACTAAAACTTAAATTTAAAACTTTATTTAAAGTGAATTGAATTTCTTTAGGTCAAAACCGTCAAGTTCGTTGTTCTAACTAATACTTCTACAGCCCAATGAAAACGTATTTAACATTTTAACTTCAGAAAAATCAAGAAGGGAGAATGATGTTTTCCACATAAATTTAGAAAGATGTATTGGTCAAGACTGGAAATAGATTTAGTTGTTGGCAAGTGAGCCAATTTAGAGGATGATATAAGGCTGTGTCATCATCCGTTGTCACCGACGCAGGCATGGTGGAAATTCTCTGTGTGCCTTTGATAATTAAGTGAAATGAACGCCAATCCCAAGAAAACAATGTTAAATGTCCCATTTTAGTCCTCAACTTTGAGGTTTACGTAATTTTCAATCTCTTAATTTTTTTATGTATTTTTTTAATTCATTAATTATAAAAAATATATTTTTTTAACTCTTTTATTAATTAATTTATTAAATTTATTTAAATTTATATATTTTTAATTCTTTAATTTTTAAT